TGTTCAGTTCCCAAGCCACCAGTAACCTAGCTTTATTTATTGGTATATTTTTATGTAAACATCGTGAAAAGCATACAATTTATTTAACATTTTAAATTCTGAATATGACGGGGTCGGGTATTGAACCTCTGACACTCCTCTCTGGCGACAGATGCTCTATCCACTAGGCCAAGGAGGCGGTATTCGGCTTCAGTACAACATTCAACATCATTTCACATGTGTCAGGTATCAGCGTGGTAATTGGGAGGGGTGGGAAGATAGTAAATATATTTTAAGTATCGTCAAGTCACACAAGTTCGATCGTCATGTAACTTCGATCGCCCATTTTGAATGGTAATTGTCGCAATACGTAGCGATAACTTACGATATCTGCAGCTTTGATCTTCTGGTGACACCACTTTCATTCGTTTGGACCGGAAAATGTTTCGTGTCAAGTTACCAAATGTAAGTTATAGCTCATTTTCAGCAAACAACTACTTTTTAACCCTAGATCAATAATGTAACTTTATCAGCTCAAATAAAATGTAAACAGTAAAAATTTCACACGTTGTAAATTGACAGCACCCCTGTCTTTTGTTTGTTTACGTTGCTGGTCTAATTGTGACATGTCCAGACACGTGATATCCTTGACAAAATTTAAAACTTTGGAAACAAGTAAATAAGGGCCATTTCTTATAGAAAACTTAAAGCTTTTTGAGAATTCCCGTGAATTTGTACCTGATGATGTTCGAGCTATTGCCTCATTGATAAATACAACCTGGGCACAATGTACCCACCCTACATGTCAGCACAGAACACATTTACGTTTCTGCAAACCAGTTCGTGGTGTTTGTCGACATTCTGAGGTTTGATGCCCGTCACGATGAGCCTGAAGAATAATTCCCTGCATAATACTTGTATATAAGCTGAATATTTGTGACTTTTCATCTTTTTTAGAAGTATTGAAACATAAAATGAACGTTTCATGGACATAAATACCATAAAGTTACATGGGACTGCTCCCAGCAGCCATTATGACCCGGATGTTGAATGAGTCACTGTTTACATACAACTAGTTCCACACTAACATATGGATGTCTGGTATGTCTAACATATGGAGTTTCCTGTAAATATCGGACGTCTTCAGTAGCTTAGCAGGTGGTGTACTCGTGACAGACATCTTGTCGTGATGAATGCTCAGGTCGGTTGTAAACATTTTATACAGCTCGCTCTTTTGTTATTTCTTGATTAAATCGCCCCAATTAATTATCTTGTGTTTCTTATTAACAAGTGTGATGTTCACCGACGTGGGTGTTAAGCAGCCAGTAAGGTTGCTAGATTGGTGTGTCGGAGTCGGAATGCGAGAATGTCGGATTAACGAGAGTAATTATCACTGTTTTAAACGGTTCCCTAATTTTTTGTCGGATTAACGTGATTGTCGGATTAATGAGTGTCGGATTAACGAGAGCTGACTGTATATTGAAAATAATTTGGACGTTTACAATCTTGGTGAAACCTTCGAGATGGAGCTGCCAAGCCTGGCATAGTAAATTTGTGAAACAAGAATTCGAATCCGCGATCACACATGTCGGTTTCTGGACCAAGGGACGCAACTCCTCATAGAAACTTCCGGCGCTTTACACGACTTGGCCACTTCTTGTTTCAATTCGGTTCAGATTATCACGACCTGTGAAGATCCGGGTTAAATTCATCTCCAGCAACCCATGCTTGTCAAAACTGATCTTCAGTAACCCATGCTTGTAAGAGGCGACTAACGGGATCGGGTGGTCAGGCTCGCTGACTTGGTTGACACGTAATCGTATCCCAATTGCGTAGATTGATGCTCATGCTGTTGATCACTGGATTGTCTGGTCAAGACTCGATTATTTACAGACCGCCGCCATATAGCTAGAATATTGCTGAGTGCAGTGTAAAACTAAACTCACCCACTCACTCAGATTATCATAGTCATGTCAACGGTTGTAGAAACTAATAGCTCCAGTAGATATCCTCATTACAATATTCAATATGAGCTAGCTAAAGTTTTTTTTAATGTTATGCAGTTGAAAACCCCCATACACTATACATATATCAAGACTGCATCAGTACTCTTTCTTAAAGAGCTCATGCTATTTATTCCAGACGAAACCCTCTCCGTAGGTTACGATAAGAAGTGAGAGGCAACGAATGATTCAATGTCTTATACAGGTAAAGGGAAGTAATTAGCAAGAATGGTGCGGCGCTGGCCGACCTCGGGAGCCAGGCTGGAATGGTGCCGGTGTTGATGTTGTTTCATCTTGACCCGATATTAAAATTCAATTTATATACTCACGGTTTCTCGTGGGCTGGTCAAGGGTTCTCGCTCAGGTGTGTAAGGTGCTTAACTGTCCAGCGTGACAAAATCGTTTGATTGTGTGTTCCAATCCTGGGCCGAATGATCATTGTTGAGCTTTACACAACAGCGCTACACTCTTGCTCCAAGCTGTCACACAAAAATATAACGATTAGATTTGCATCAGTTCGCGCTTTCCTTCAATGAAACTATCCCCAGGCTGACATATCCTGATGTAACTGAAACCCACTTGGACTCAAACAACCGTACTCCATTATGGGGTGATCGTATTAATCATAAAAGTTCTGCGTGCGTCCATAAAATCCTTCTTCGTCACACGTCCTTCCAGCTTGCTTTTGTTTTGTTTGGTCAACAATATTTTGGTTGTTTGTTGTTTAACGCAACACTCGGCAATATTCCAGCTATATGGCGGCGGTCTGTAAATAATCGAGCCTGAACCAGACAATCCAGTGATCATCAGCAAGAACATCGATCTACGCAATTGGGATTCGATGACATGCGTCAACCAAGTCAGCGATGAAGACCACCTAATCCGGTTAGTCGCCTGTTACGACAAGCATGGGTGACTGAAGATCTGCACGGGTTTCTTAGCTTTGGTTACCGTTTACTTTATCGGTGAGACTTAAGATGTGCTTTTAATGAGATTGGTAGGTGAATTGAAACTGTGGTCACTGTCGCGTTCTTTCCTCAGTTTCCCATCTCTCTGGTACTCCATTTCAATTTAAACGGGATTTTGTTTTGTTACTGTCAGAATTTTATACATTCAGAGACTTAGCGTTAGTCTAATGTGCTTCATGCGTGCTTCGCATCTTCTGGGGTTACTGGATATCAAACGCTGGATTGTCTTTGTTGTATCCTTCATTCTTCTTTCCAGACCTGCCTAAGCTGTTCTCGAAATTCTGGAAACGCTGAAGTCTGTGGCGATCCATTCCAAAAGTGCTTAATTGGTGCCACATGTGGAGATTTGGCTTGTCATGGCCATGTTGTGATGAAGGTATCCTTAAACCTTCACACCAAGAGGTATCTGAATTAATTATCTGAATTTGAGGAGGAGTTTTGTTTCATCGCACGCGTCAGAAATCGGCTGAAACAGCAGGATACAATGCCAGAAGACCCATCAAGTCTCCAGCTCACAAACTAGCACGACTTGCCTGGTGTAATCAACGTGTTCGCTGAAACATTGCCTCATGGCGGAAGATTCACTTTCCGATGAGACTTGTTTCTTATTGCACATGGTGGATGGTCGTACACGTGTCTGGAGACAAAGGAACACATCTATGGTTCCCGCAATATCCAGGAAACGGTTCCCTTTGGGGGAGGGTCAAGCGTGGTTTAAGAATGCATTTCCTTGGGCTGCAAGATGGACCTCATTCCCATTCGTGGTAACCTTGATGGGCCTCGGTATCAACAGGAGATCATTGAGATGGCTGTTGTCCAACAGTTTGATAACCATTGTCTAGCCACAAGACCCATCTTTATGGATGACAATGACAGGCCTCACGGAGCACGTGCTATCACCCAGTTCTTGCAACAGAATGTTGTTGAGACCATCCCATGGTCAGCCATTTGTCCAGATCTAATTCTCACTGAGCATCTGTGGGACTGTGTTGTGTTCGACAGGGAGACCCACCTGTCCAGGGGCCGGATTCACTAAACTTCTTAGAATATTCTTAACCCTTAAGAATTCTTAGTTCTACTAAGAATTCTTAGTTTCCATAGCAACTTATCTAAAACTAAGATTTTTGCTTAAGCAATATTCATCAAACCTCTTAGTGCTTAAGATTTTTTCTTAACTTAAGAATCCTCCGTAGGTTACTTAAGCACTAAGAATTTTCTTAGTAAACAAAGATGGACGCCAATGCATTCATCGATAGAACCAACATTTTAGAAAAATACACAGAAACAGAGTTGTCACGAACATTTAGATTATCAAAAGATGGTATACAATTTGTAGTAAGTCTCATTTCCAATGAAATTTCACCTCTCACTCAAAGAAGTCATCCTTTATCAGCTATAATCCCATGCGTTTCTCACTAAGAAAATTCTAAGAATTTTAAAATATCTCAGCTAAGATTTATGCTTAGTGGCTTGGTGGATTGCTACTTAAGAAAAATTCTCAGCTAAGAATTCTTAAGGAAACTTAAGCATAAAAACTAAGAAAATTCTAAGAAGTTTAGTGAATCCGGCCCCAGGCTCTCAATGAATTGACTAATGCTTTGCATGAGGAATGGAACAGGATTCCTCAGCTTCAAATCCGGAAATTGATCCAAGGAACGAGGACGCGTCTTGAATCAGTTGTTCGGGTGCAGGGAGGTTACGCAAGATGCTGATGGATAGTTAGTATTTAGACTTGCAGACATTATTCTTCATTTCCGAGTAAGTGGTACTGACAGTTAAGCCAGTGCAAGAAAAGTGAATTCCGCATACTAATGTTTTACATGAAATGACGTCATTTTCCAAATATGTCATCTTCAAAAAACAAAAAAACCGATGATCATGGTAATCTTGGTTGTTTCCCCTCAACCCTTTCCTTTTCACAACAAAATTCATACGGTATGGAAGTCTGTGACACATTTTATGCACCAGTTCATTTAATTCTTTAGTCTGAGATTATACGGGTCTCGTTGAATTAATTTATATGTAGGTATGAGAAACACCACTACGGATATATGAAAAGGTTACATTTTATTACACTGCTGAGTGGTATGGCATCAAATAAGAGGGTTGACCTCTGAAGAGACTAATACAATTTACTTCATGCAAAAGGTAGAGCATATACTTGATGAACGTGGTTTACACTACTTGTCCGTGATGGCCACGGCTTTGAGATGACATTATGTCTAAGGCAATGAAGAATACTTAAAGAATGATAATATGTTTTAGTCCTCTCTCTCCTCCTCATAATAATCATCGTTTCGTCTGCATCAATGTTTCGCTGCAGGAGCTGGCAATGCTTCGCCACTCCCTGACTAACTGTTCTTTGTCCATTTTCCACAGTTGACGAAGTCGTGGCCAACCTATCCTAGCTGTGTTAAGCATGTAGACGTTACTGGGATCCTATTACCAGGGACTGAGAGATGCGCGCGCATACGCATATCTTTAACAGATCAATTTCTCTGTCTGACAAATCATTCTTGGTTAGATAGCCCGCCAGAACGTACCCGGATGCAGTTTGTGGTGGTACATTGTCACTGAGGATTGCCATGTATGCCATTGCTATGGCGACCTCAAAGATATATGGCAGGTAACCATTGTGAGCATAATCCAAGATGGCGGACACATCGTGATCATCCCTCCATCTGTCGTCATCCGCAGCTTCAGTGACCAGGATATTCCCTTCGTTGAAATCACCATGGATCGCCCCTTTAAAAATATGAAAAGAAACGTAGTGATTTTGAATGCTTTAGCCCGAATATCTAAGCAGGTTCTACTCAAGCAGTTGTCAAACATAACAAGTGTTGATTCGAATGAGTTTGATTTAATGTCGATATATACAGCATACGCTAGGCATAGAGGCATCATTCTAAGCGCTACTTCATCCCAGAGAGATGCTTAATACATTACTGTACTATCTTCATCGTCACGCTGGGTTTCTACTAACGTTCTAGTTGTTTGTGATAGACTGGCGTCGAGTGTGTGAGATGAAATCCATTGGTCAGAGGTTAGTTCACGTGGTTATCTATGACTTCCGGCTTTTGGGTATGGTTTGATAGCATCCTTTAAAGGTCACATGCAACGTAAAACACAACTTTGCAGATTCTGATACCTTTCGGTATGGACTTACCGAAACAAATCGTCAAAAATGCAAATTCAACTTATAAAGTTGAAAAATAACGCGATGAAAAAACGCGCGAAATCGTAGTTCAAACGATTCACTAATTTTCCCCCAGCGTTTGGGGGAATTCAAGTGGTTTCAACAGCTGGGCTGCGCTCATAGCACGTGCGCAGTGAAATAGGTTCGCGCAGCTTGGAAGCGGGTTGTCCGGTGAATACTCGGTGAAGGCTTTGGTGTGAGCTATTTTTCTAATAGTAAATTAACTGTTTACATAATTTCATTTGTCCATTTCACCACACGTTCTTCTTACCGAGTCACTTTCTCAGTTCGATACTTAAAAGCAATGTCATTATTTAGCGTTGACAGAATTTCTAACTGTGATATAGATATGTCGTTGTCACAGACAAAACTCAATGTCTTGTTTTATTGACACCTATGTGTCTGCCTGCCTGTCTGCTGATGACAATATATCCAATACACAGCTGCTTTCACTGACCACATGCAATTTGAACTTAACACCAATCAGGCTATACACCATAAACAAAACGCATTGATTTATGGCCCGAGTTCGGTCTCTGTCACATTATGTAATTACACAGACAGGCAGGTGTGATACTTGAACACATGACATGTTATGATGTCTGTTGATTGCAAAATGTTCTACACAAAAAATGAGCATGTATTTACAAAACCCAACATCTCTATATATACACACACAATGAGCCGTGATGGCATCTGTAAATGAACCAGCGGTTACACTTGAGTGCACGCCCACCCGCTCTGAATGGGTTCGGTATCCCGGCTGCTTCGTTTCTTGGGAAGTAAACCCAAGTACACAATATTGCACTTTTGATTTGCGATTGTACGCTTATGATTTTGTTTAAATGTTTTTTCATAACCAGCAATGTATATTATATATCATGAATAAGTGATAATTGTGTTTTAATTATGTTTGATTTTTTGGTTGCATGTGACCTTTAATGTTGGATGACAAATTGACTTAGGTTGTTAATGTTTACGGTAAGGTTGTGCTGATCAACGAGAGTCGGTATGGTGACAGACTTAAGATGTAAAATTGGGCAAATCCAGTTTCACTTTTTGATGAATACACACGCCAGAACACCCAATGCCCAAGATATAACCCAATGCATATCTTCTGTTAGTATAGGGCCCGTAAGTCGCTAGACGGGTGACGGCCACGTAAAGTCACATTGTGAGTGACCCGTCAATTTGGAACCAGAACTGGTTCTTGAACGGACGCTTGTCACCGGAAATATGGTCCCGGAAGTAAGCTGGGTCCCGTCTCGCATATCGCAAGATGGCGCGCGCAAAGGGAGCCGGGAACCAGCTTAGTACCGAAAGTAGTGCCTCGCGGGGCCCTATTAATCTGAGAGGCAAACGTTCATGTCATTAAATCACATGTTCCATCCCCACGATTAGGTGGCACCTAAGTAAGCTGGGCCCCGTCTCGCATATCGCAAGATGGCGCGCGCAAAGGGAGCCGGGAATCAGCTTAGTATTGAAAGTAGTGCCTCGCGAGGCCCTATTAATCTGAGAGGCAAACGTTCATGTCATTAAATCACATGTTCCATCCTCACGATTAGGTGGTCACCTTGGTAATAGTATTTCAGCGACTTGGACCCCTCATCCACAGTATAAATGATAAATATATAATGTGAACAGAGTATGAGTGAAGACATGACTTATTTACGATACATACATTCTTTGATAAATTTTGCTACAGAACAATCGAGTATTTTTATCAGCAGACTGCAACAGCTTTATAAATTTATGTTTTGATGGACACTCCCAAATATAGCGACACTCCCAAATATTACACACACTAATAAAGTGAAATTCATCTTCAGTTACAGAAATGACATGATCATTACAAAAATCACACAATCTATAATTTCTATAAATATCTAAATAGCGACATAATGCAATTTTTAATTTACGAGATGATATTCTGAAACGTGTTACATAAAATGAGAGACATGGTGAAAGATAGTTGAGATATGTTTCATAGAAGAATTTATGTTTAATATCATTATACAAAGCAAGTTTAGTACTTTGGATAATATCGCTTTTCCATTTCTGTACAAATTCATCAATCAAACGTTGTTTAAACACTTTACAAAAGTCATTTGCATCAACACAATCAGAAAACAACCATACAAAACCAAAACCATGTTTAGATAAAACAGATTTAGCAAATTGGCCCAGGTTTTAACTCCTCTCATGCAAGATTCTAGCATGATATCATAACACATCTTCCAGACATGATTATTTGAACGTTGTAACTTGAACCAGTATTTTATAACTCAGGGTATTCTGTTGATATATAATGGATATTTTCCCAGTTCCCCGTAGACAGCAGCGTTTTTTAAATTTTGAGTGGACTTTCAGAATTCATTTTAAGAACTTGAGGTGGATACGTTCAATTTCAGTAGCGAATGTTGTTCCCCCATACTTCACAGCCATAGTTCATGTAGACTAACAACTAGTCTCTGAAATGAACATATTTTACTGAAAAAGTTCATAGTAAAAAAATATACATATATAATGAAAAGGAGACTTTCTTCATTTCCTGAAGCTGAGGAAATCTAGACTTGCCACATTTTCTAGACTTGTGTGGGCTTTCTTGGATATATTTGCTGCAGGGTCTGTACGAGAGACTATAGTTCATGGTGCTTGAGACAAAAGCGTCGAACAGCTGACAGCAAGTACTTGGCGTGAAGTACCCTTTCAGAATGTTAACAAACAGCACGTTCATTGCTTTTAACCCTTTACCGACGAATGACTTCAGACATATGTTAATGTGTACGTTCGATGACATAACATTTCCAAGATAGTTACATTCATTAACGGTCTCCAGCTTTTACCACCAATAGTCCATGAATGTTTTAATATTGTTCTTTTTTCAGATATCATGACCTTAGTTTTGTTCACATTTATGGTTAGACCCCTCTTTCTACAATATACTTCCAGACTGTTTTTGAGATTTTGCAAACCCTCGGCAGAATGTGATAGAAGAGCCATATCATCAGCAAAAGAGATTAAAACAGATTTACGTAGTGAAGAATGGCGATTCCATCGTTGGTGTTTTATTTAAGCTCCTGCTCTAGATCTTTAAGGAAGAATGAGTGAGTGAGTTAATATTTATCGTCACATCAGCAATATTTCAGCCATATCGTGACGAGAACAATTAATAATTATATTATAGATTAATAAAATTAGGAAATATAAGCCTGTTGACGAAGAACAGTAAAACGGCCAGTGTATCACAGGTATCCATTTAAAACTAGTAATTAAATCTTAAACATTTTACTAGAAATGACAAGACAATGTAAAACAGGCTATAGATTGCCAACAACTGAAATTGATCACCATACTAGTATAGGACCATGCGGACTTACAGTACATTTGCTTCAAGCATGGACCCTAGCTGGATTTACACCATCCCTTCAGCCGTTAGCAGCTTAGACAAATCTAGCCATACATTTAAAAAGACACATATTCTACGATTAAAAATAGTGGAGAGTTTTAATTTACTTTGAATGTTTGTGGACTTATGTACCCTCTCAGGTGGACAATAATTTCACAGTACTTTAACCCCTACAGCCACTAACAATCTAAGTTACTAATTTAAACTTCCAATTATAAAGTATTTATCTATTTACAAATCATTTAACAATTCTATTCCTTTTTAAAAAACAGGAAGAATGAGAATAATAACAGTGACATGACTTCGCCTTGCTTTATCCCAGCTCCAATACTGATAACATCAGTTGGTGTGGAACCTATCTTAACACACGACGTCACCTCTATGTACAGTGATTATAGAACTGACCACATTTTCCCTTTTATACCATGTTTATATAACTAACACAGCAGTCCATTTCTATATACACTGTCAAAAGCCTTTGACAGTGCCACAAAACAACAATACAGTGTTTCTTTCTTATTTACAAATTTATGAACAGCTAATTGTAATACGGTGGAAAGACCCTTCCTACTCATATCCCAGGTGGATATTTTCTCTGTTAGAATAGATGTGAATAGTTTCGAGAAGCAACTGTTAAGCGTTATACTGTGATTGTTGACGTCATCTGTGTGGCCTTTCTTGTGTAGGGGATAATCACCCCAGCTGACCAGAATCGTGGAAATATGCCATGGGAGAATATCTTGTTGAAAAATGTCGTTAATGGTTCTAGAATCATATCACTTGCACACTTGAATATTTTATTCAGTAATCCATCGAACCCGACTGAGTTATTTGTCTTCAGCCTGTCGATAGCTCTCTTCACCTCGTCCACTGCGATCTCTACATCAAGCTCCTGGATAGCTCTCTTCACCTCGTCCACTGCGATCTCTACATCAAGTTCATGGATCCGACAGTTGAACAGAAAATGAATTCCTCCTCTTATCCACAGATTACCTTCTCAATACTTCATCAGCCTTGTAGCTTATATCATCTGTGATCCTATTCACCAATCACCAATTACAAAATCAGTTACCCACTCGAGCATTAAAATCACCTACAATCAACACCTCATGCTTTAAATTCAGTGTATGACTCCTGCAATAAATCAAAGAGATTAACATCATGTTCATTATACATAAAAGAGGGGGCGGTGGGGTAGCCTAGTGGTTAAAGCGTTGGCTCGTCACGCCGAAGACCCGGGTTCGAATCCCCACATGGGTACAATGTGTGAAGCCCATTTCTGGTGTCCCCCGCCGTGATGTTGCTGGAATATTGCTAAAAGCGGCGTAAAACCAAACTCAGTCAGTATACATAACAGACCCCTCTGGCCATATATGAACTACACATGTGTACACATCATTTTCAGAACCAAACTTGTTTTTGTAAAAAAATTGCAACCAACACTGTTCCATCTTACCTTGTTGAAATTCACTCAGGTGTTCTAGAACACGTGTCTGAAATGTTTTGATGACGTCATGGACCATCTTTCTGTCGCCATCATCGTCAACCATGTGCAGCAAGCCAAGAATCAAGGGCAGATTGTCAAGGTGCCAGATCACTTGGTTACCATGTAAACCAGAATGATCAAAGCCCTGTGTGGAAATGAGTGAACTCAATAATCAACACATAAGGACCGAACCAAAAGATCATACTTATTTCATTCACCAACACCTATATTGGCACATTGGACAAAACCACGACCCTAAATGAACATCAACAGTTGAAATATACAGTTGACCTGATGTAACTACACAAAAGATGTTACAAATCTACACTAGTATGAATAACCGACATCGGTTCAAATGGCATGCTAGGTAACTGTCTGACGGACGTACGAATTCAAGATAGGGATTTTCTTCTCAAAATATACTAAAGCAGGAAACTATGCTTCATATCAAGTTCACCATAAATAAACTGTGCTTCATATCAAGTTCACCATAAATAAACAATGCTTCATATCAAGTTCACCATAAATAAAATGTGCTTCATATCAAATTCGCCATAAACACACTGTGCTTCATATCAAGTTCACCATAAATAAACAATGCTTCATATAAAGTTCACCATAAATAAACTGTGCTTCATATCAAGTTCACCATAAATAAACTATGCTTCATATCAAGTTCACCATAAATAAACTGTGCTTGATATCAAGTTTACCATAAATAAACTATGCTTCATATCAAGTTCGCCATAAATAAACTGTGCTTCATATAAAGTTTACCATAAATAAACTGTGCTTCATATAAAGTTCACCATAAATAAACTGTGCTTCATATAAAGTTCACCATAAATAAACTATGCTTCATATCAAGTTCACCATAAATAAACTGTGCTTCATATCAAGTTCACCATAAATAAACTGTGCTTCATATCAAGTTTACCATAAATAAACTATGCTTCATATCAAGTTCACCATAAATAAACTGTGCTTCATATCAAGTTTACCATAAATACACTGTGCTTCATATCAAGTTCACTATGAATAAACTGTGCTTCATATAAAGTTCACCATAAATAAACTGTGCTTCATATCAAGTTTGGGGCGGTGGGCTAGCCTAATGGTTAAAGCGTTGGCTTGTCGCGCCGAAGACCCGGGTTCGAATCCCCACATGGGCACAATGTGTGAAGCCCATTTCTGGTGTCCCCCGCCGTGATTTTGCTGGAATATTGCTAAAAGCGGCGTAAAACCAAACTCAGTCAGTCAGTCAGTCAGTCAGTCATATCAAGTTTACCATAAATACACTGTGCTTCATATCAAGTTCACCATAAATAAACTGTGCTTCATATAAAGTTCACCATAAATAAACTGTGCTTCATATCAAGTTCACCATAAATAAACTGTGCTTCATATCAAGTTCACCATAAATAAACAATGCTTCATATAAAGTTCACCATAAATAAACTGTGTTTCATATCAAGTTTACCATAAATAAACTATGCTTCATATCAAGTTTACCATAAATAAACTATGCTTCATATAGTTCACCATAAATAAACTATGCTTCATATCAAGTTCACCATAAATAAACTGTGCTTCATATCAAGTTCACCATAAATAAACTGTGCTTCATATCAAGTTCACCATAAATAAACTATGCTTCATATCAAGTTCACCATAAATAAACTGTGTTTCATATCAAGTTTACCATAAATACACTGTGCTTCATATCAAGTTCACTATAAATAAACTGTGCTTCATATAAAGTGCACCATAAATAAACTGTGCTTCATATGAAGTTCACCATAAATAAACTGTGCTTCATATCAAGTTCACCATAAATAAACCATGCTTCATATCAAGTTCACCATAAATAAACTGTGCTTCATATCATGTTCGCCATAAATAAACTATGCTTCATATCAAGTTCACCATAAATAAACTTTGCTTCATATCAAGTTCACCATAAATAAACTGTGCTTCATATCAAGTTTACCATAAATAAACTGTGCTTCATATCAAGTTCACCATAAAAAAACTGTGCTTCATATCAAGTTCACCATAAATAAACTGTGCTTCATATCAAGTTCACCATAAATAAACTATGCTTCATATAAAGTTCACCATAAATAAACTGTGCTTCATATCAAGTTCACCATAAATAAACTATGCTTCATATAAAGTTCGACATAAATAAACTGTGATTCATATCAAGTCCACTTTAAATAAACTATGCTTCATATAAAGTTCACCATAAATAAACTATGCTTCATATAAAGTTCACCATAAATAAACTGTGATTCATATCAAGTCCACTTTAAATAAACTATGCTTCATATAAAGTTCACCATAAATAAACTATGCTTCATATAAAGTTCACCATAAATAAACTGTGCTTCATATCAAGTTCATCATAAATAAACTATGCTTCATATCAAGTTCCCCATAAATGAACTGTGCTTCATATCATGTTTGCCATAAATAAACTATGCTTCATATCAAGTTCACCATAAATAAACCGTGCTTCATATCATGTTCGTCATAAATGAACTATGCTTCATATAAAGTTCACCATAAATAAACAATGCTTCATATCAAGTTCGCCATAAATAAACTGTGATTGATATCAAGTTCACCATAAATAAACTATGCTTCATATAAAGTTCACCATAAATAAACTATGCTTCATATCAAGTTCACCATAAATAAACCATGCTTCATATCAAGTTCACCATAAATAAACTATGCTTCATATAAAGTTCACCATAAATAAACTGTGATTGATATCAAGTCCACTTTAAATAAACTATGCTTCATATAAAGTTCACCATAAATAAACTATGCTTCATATAAAGTTCACCATAAATAAACTGTGCTTCATATCAAGTTCATCATAAATAAACTATGCTTCATATCAAGTTCCCCATAAATGAACTGTGCTTCATATCATGTTTGCCATAAATAAACTATGCTTCATATCAAGTTCACCATAAATAAACCGTGCTTCATATCATGTTCGTCATAAATGAACTATGCTTCATATAAAGTTCACCATAAATAAACAATGCTTCATATCAAGTTCGCCATAAATAAACTGTGATTGATATCAAGTTCACCATAAATAAACTATGCTTCATATAAAGTTCACCATAAATAAACTATGCTTCATATCAAGTTCACCATAAATAAACCATGCTTCATATCAAGTTCACCATAAATAAACTGTGCTTCATATCATGTTCGCCATAAATAAACTATGCTTCATATCAAGTTCACCATAAATAAACTGTGCTTCATATCAAGTTCGCCATAAATAAACTATGCTTGATATCAAGTTTACCATAAATAAACACTGCTTCATATCAAGTTCGCCATAAATAAACTGTGATTGATATCAAGTTCACCATAAATAAACTATGCTTCATATCAAGTTCACCAAAAATAAACAATGCTTCATATAAAGTTCACCATAAATAAACTGTGCTTCATATCAAGTTCACCATAAATAAACTGTGCTTCATATCAAGTTCACCATAAATAAACTATGCTTCATATCAAGTTTACCATAAATAAACTATGCTTCATATCAAGTTCGCCATAAATAAACTAAACTTCATATACAGTTCAACATAAATAAACAATGCTTCAAATCATGTTCACCATAAATAAACTATGCTTCATATCAAGTTTACCATAAATACACTGTGCTTCATATCAAGCATTCTCTTCCCACAGAGGTTACTTGTCATATCTTCCTACGAACCTCTGTTCTAATACGCCCATATTTCCCGGTTCTCGTAAAATCCCCTACCGGCAAAAGATCGCAACACGAATTATCTCCCTTCTTTCTATCCAATCAGAACACGTGTTACATCGACTTAGATTCAACTTGACTAACACAAGCAAATGTGGGGCCACAAATATCCCCCATCTGCCGGGGAATTGTGTTGATGTTACACACAAGACGTTTAATGGCAAGCTTGTCCGTTGTCAACGAGGGCGATGGAGACGCCACTGATCCGCCATAACATGACGGAGTTCTGTCTAGAAGAAATGTTTGCGCACCGCGCAGGGGAAGAAATTTGGTTTTTCTCGAAGCATACAGAAATTACCAATGCAAGGCCTTGCGAATGATCACTTTTGAAACAACGTCGCTGATTGCACAACTAAATCTGATTGCCTCCAATCACGAGTCTTGAACGCTCACACCATGAAAGGGCCGTATTAGAACACAGGTTACGTAGGAAGACATGACAGGAGTAACCTCTGTGGGAAGAGAATGCATATCAAGTTCACCATAAATAAACTATGCTTCATATAAAGTTCACCATAAATACACTGTGCTTCATATCAAGTTTACCATAAATAAACTGTGCTTCATATCAAGTTCGCCATAAATAAACTGTGCTTCATATCAAGTTCGCCATAAATAAACTATGCTTCATATCAAGTTCGCCATAAATAAACTATGCTCGAGGCATGGAACACAAGATAAACAAAGCTTGCCAGGAAGAGCCATCCGTTCTAGCGAGAACAGTCTAACGTGGACGACCTCGTCAACAACACCATCGGTGTCCTGGACTACAGTGATCACGTCGCTGACCTGATCCACCTTCAGTGATCCACCTGCACATGATCCATCAATGTGACTTATCGGTGAACAGTCTGTGGCTCAAACATTTCTTGTTATATATTTATTAAATTTCTACCATGGCTACGGTATCAGACGACGACTCACATTTCTTTTGTTTTTCTTGTCTATTGAGAGTCCCGGGAACGCTGTAGCTTGACCGTTCCCGCAAAAGCCACACCTAAATTGAGGAGGTTTGGTCCAGATTTCGCCTTCCCGGGCCATAACACTGGGGGAAGCTGAGTTGGCTTGTATTGGATTAGGCTGCATGTTTTCTTAAATGGGTAAAGGTGAGGTGAAATTGGGTTTACTGTCGTGCTTGAGAATATTTCGCTCATATGACGACGTGCATGCGTGTGTATGTGTATGTGCGACTGCTTGTACTAGCCCAGACTTAAGCTGGTTTTATAGTGCTAGTCCACTGAGATACCAAGCAGCAGTGAAGCATGAATACCCCAGTCAGGCACATTATACTGACTCCGAGCCGACCAGTCCTTGTTGTACCCATTAATGCCGAGCGCCAGGCAGGGACCAACAAGTACCATATTTTAGCGTCTTTTGGTATGACGCGGTCGGGGATCGAACCCGCGACCTTCCGCTCTCCGGGCGGACGCTCTAACAACTACACCACGGAGGTGGTCTTAAATGGGTAAAGGATTCTCAAACGAGTAAGGAGATTTTGCAATGAAGTCAACTTCTTTTCTGTAATATTTTAAAGCTATCCTCCTTTGTTTTATAACTGAATAATAGAACCTTGAGTAAGGGTGTTAGTACAGCGTGAAATTATACACAGCCAACAAAGAAAAGAATGACACATCTACTGGATGCTGCAAAGGAACGATGACGACCATGAAAGACAGACTGATCAGAACATCTGACTACAGCCACCCTGCAGCTTCCTATGCCTACGACGTCGACGTCTTCAGGACGCGTCTCATGGATCGAGCCAGAGAAGAAACCACATCCATCTCCAAGATCTACGTGGAGGAACTATGCAACATCAGGAGAAGTGCAGATTCCTTGCCTGACGATATCCTGCACCCCCACCTTCCCCAGCATCAGGCCACCACTCTACCGAGGGCAAAGAAAGAGGCTACCCAGGCTGCCCACGACCCAGCCTGAGGTCCAGATAGGCGGTGAGTGGACAACAACAGATTCGGGTGAAGACTTCCTGATTCCCAACATAGAAAACAAGAGGAAGAGAACACTCATCTTCACCACCGCGACCAACCTTGACCTCCTGACTAATACAGATGTCACCTACGGCACGGTCTACTCCACTCCCATATCTTCTACCAGCTGTACACTCTACATGCAGAAGTTCTGTACTGCATTCTTCCGACAAGACCAAGGACACGTGCGTCTCCATGTTCCGACACATCTAGGAAGCAGCAGCGACCCATAGCGTCAACATGCAACCCAGTATCCTCCAGATTGACTTTGAACATGACGTCGCCTACGCAGCAATGGAAATTCCCTACAGATCTGGGCCTAGATTTTCGAAGCTCTCTTAGCGCTAAGATAGTCGTAACTTAATGTTAATGAATGGCACTTACGACTATCTTAGCGCTAAGAGAGCTTCGAAAATCTAGGCCCAGGGCTCCATTCCACAAAGCCATCGTACCGCTAAGATGATAGTAACTCCCATACTTTAACATAGACTTACGACTGTCGTAGCGCTACGATCGCTTTGAGGAACGGGGCCAGATCCGCGGATGTTTCTTTCATTTTGCCCAGGCCCTTTGGAAGAAGATCCAGATCACTAGGACTCGCTACGACCTACAAAGAAGATGCTGGCGAAGAGAAGCAAGGCTCTGGCTCTTGTCCCTGTAGCTGACGTTGAAGATGCTTGGCTGGACATTATGGCTGGTGGTGATCAGGTAATCAAGTAGTATGTCAAGACACAGTGGATAGAACCACTACACCAACACCACCCACAGGACTAATAACAACCTGGAAGGTTGGCTTCACAACCAGCAGACGTCATGCCATCCCAATATCTTCAACTTCATCACCCTGATCAAGAGGGGACAGTTGGTCACAGAAGTGATGAGGGCCATCCGCGAGAGCCGAAACATCGCCGACGCTAGCTACGTTGAAGCCGACCAACGCATCCGCCGAGAGAAGGAGAGACTGCAGAACGGCGAAACCGAAGTCATGGCCTTTGTAGATTGTGTGGGACACTTGCCTGGAGTGTAGTGAATATGTTTGACATTCATTCAATGTGTTTGAGTAAGAATTGATTTGAAGGTGCTAATGTTTATATGAATAGAAGTACGCAAAGAGAAGAAAGTACAAAAAGTAAATAAAGAGAGTCCCAACACCCAACGCTTACGCCGATGTAAATAGAGAGAGTTCCAACATTCCTTGCGTCTTGTTTTGGTATGTTCCAATGTCTAATACATTGTAAATTAATTAATAGCTAAGACCACAATGCTCATTCGTCGACGGTATCCTCCCAAAACTTCCACAGCTTATAACAACAACATTTCTGGTTGACTGCACACACTTTAGCATACTGATTACCTCAGTCTGTAATGGTTTAACCCATTACCCAGTAATGAATACAAACAATCACTTAGTAATATATTAGATATTTTATAAAGGCAGGGATATTAACAAAAATACATATCTTTTTTAGTTACATATAGCAGTCTATGTAGAACATTTATTTAGAACTTATATCCTATAGTGTCCCAAGATTTCACCCAAACATTTGACAGTCATAGTGGACGGCTCCGTCTCTGCTGTACTTCTGTCTGGAAAATATGTGACATATATGTAAACATATAAAACTGGCTATTATAAATAAATGTCACGACCGTTATTGTGCCACTGTCCATACCATAACATTATCAATTTCCTATTTAATTAAAATTGATTTACGTGTTTATGCCTGGATTTGGTAGTTCAAGCATGTTTGGGAGTAGAGCTTCAAGTAAGCATAATACAATTCATATTCTCATTTTGAATTTTTTGCTTCACATTACTTTATATTTGCAAATCAGAATTGAAAGGAATTGTTTGGCGTGTTGGCCCATTTTAAACAATAAAATTAATATAAAATTTCAAAACTCATCAGCTATGTTATATTGTAAAACTACATATTTGAATATACATGTTCATTAAATGTACGTTAAGCTTGCATAATGTATGCTTTGTATGTGCAGAATAATATGAACGTAATTAACAATATTTCAAGGTAAAACAAGAAAACAAAATTTACATTTTAATATGCACGAATTTATATCATATATATTTCAGAGTTATTAACTAGCTGCTCTCTTCTCTACTAAAATCTCTACTCTGTCAGGTGATGCTGTTGTTTCAGTTCAGTGCACTTCCCGGGCTATCCTATTACCTAAAAAGGGATGATGAGGAGTTGTTGATTTAACAGTGTGTGGTAGTATTGGGATGTGGAAGTTTTGGGATATAACCTCGTCGACTGCATTTTGCTACTCTGACTAATTGGTATGCGGCCTTTTGGGACAACGTCTTCCCAAGCGAACAGCCAAGGCAATCAGGTGTTTGTTTTGTTTGTCTTATTTTAAAGAAAATTTGTTCCGATACTACGCAAATGCATTTAAATACATTTCAATGAAAAGACATGCCATCGTGACTTTCAAAAGATGGTTCATATAAAATGAAAACCGATGAATTTCGTTGACATAAGCAATATAAATACAAGGGGGTAGCCTCTACATTTACACATTGTTATAGTCGCTGGTATTTCAGAAAGAGTATTGTCTCTTTTATTTACCTTCAATTCCGTGTCAATTCTGCCCGCCAGCACCCCTACCTTGTAACACAGCCCCGGGGTGAGGGGTACAGATTGTAATATTTTCCCAGGGATAAACTCGAACAGCCGCACTACATAGGACGAGTGAGTATCTGAAAATACAACCTTCAATTGTTGTAACGCGATGTTCAGAAGGTGAGAAGGTGAATTAACTCTTTCAACTAGCTCCTTTGCAGTTAAGGAATGGGGTTGCGTTTTCTGGCAATAGTATCTTCGTGTATTGGGTTTTCGGACACTTAAGAACAGCCGTTTTTGTCTCGATCATGGCATGGACAATTGTTAAACATTCCACAGACTTCTGAAATATGACTTTTTGACAATCAGAAGCCATCATTCAAGAGTATGGAAATGCCTGAGTGAGCAGTAACGTCCGAACATTTAAGATCCGACGAAATATATTCATAGACACTGATCGTTGGTCTTACATTGGCCCGTGCTGTCTGGGTTCTTGCAACCCTCGTCTTCCAGGTTCAAGGTCAGGTACAGGTGCCCGCTGAGGGTTGGGACGACCCGGGCGCAAGGGATACCACTCCCGTACACACGGGACATCATCTCATGCTGGGCTTCTGAAACGATAGTTTTGTTTGGTCGTGTGACATACAGCATTTTGTAGTGGAATAGTTGCTGTACATAATAAATACACTTGAAACCTGAAATAGATCTTTCTCGTTCGCATCCGGAGAAAATACACCCTGGTAGTTCTCACAAAACACACACTTTAAATGCAATAAGAAATTAACAAGATACTTTACCTATGTACTTTGTGTTCTGTGAATTCCGTTTGTTGAGAACTTTGAACGTATAACCATGGCAACACGTTTCCTTTCACTTGTCTCCAATTGACTCCACTTTGACCAGGAAGTTCAAATCTTCATAGCTGTCAAGTTTCTGGCAACTGACCATGCGCAGGCCGAAGTGTCGTGCAAGTATGGCCCCAATGGAGGACTCATTCAGCGATGGTCTCACCGAAGTTGCAAGCTTGATGTGGTTTGCCATTCTGTTGAACTGTGGACGATAAATAAAAGTTCAGGCATCAAGGCTCATGACAATATCGGAGAATAAAATGCAAGATGTACCTGAGGTGAGAATATATTGTCAGCAAGCAACGCGCACGGCCATCTTGTTACTAGGGAGTTTCAGTCTGATGCACACGACCACAAAGACGACAGTTCCATTACTGTGTCGAGGGCGCTTATAAATGCTGGGATTTCTTTGGTCCAAATGCAAATGGGATTGTATCTTTATTTCGGTCCAGAAAAGTGTGGTCACAAAGGCATAAACATGTATCTCTCTCTCTCTCTCTCTGAAAAGTGTCTCTCTCTTTCTCTCTCTCTCTCTCTCTCTCTCTCTCTCTCTCTCTCTCTCTCTCTCTCTCTCTCTCTCTCTCTCTCTCTCTCTCTCTCTCTCTCTCTCTCTGTGGTGTACACGACCACCAAGACGACATTTGCATAACTATGTCGAGTGTGCAAGTAGGATATAATTGGTTCAGAGGTGCAAAAAAAGCCAGACAGGCTCAAATATGAATATCTTGACACACTTGTTTGCGGAAAGGGGTGAAATGGGGTTGACGGCCGCTAGTACATATGCAGCGAGGTGCATGAGTGAGTGTAGCTTTACGCCGTTTTTAGCAATGTTGCAGCAATATCATAGCTTCACACATTGTACCAATGTGGGGAATCGAACCCGGGTCTTCGGCGTGACAAGCGAATGATTTAACCACTAGGCTACCCCCACAGCCCTATGCTGGAAGGATGTACAAGCAAGTAACTACAGGGATGTGTAGGAAATCTGTCTGAAAATTGATGGTTTCAGATAATTTGATAAATGATGGGTCATACGATCGGTCAAGCATCCGTTTAGACAGTGTAGCACTGTTTAAATAAATCATATTTCCACTCCTCCTGCAGCGCTTGACCCAGTTCGGATAACGTGGCCGGTGGACTTTAACGTCTCTCAGTCACGTCCTATATGTGTTCGTGTAGGGGAAAAGTCAGGACTCTTGTCTTGTCATTGCATTCTGCGATGTTGTGTTAGAGTAGCCAGATAAGGTACATGCACAGTGTGTCTTGACCAGAATGGCGCGTAACACCAAACGAAGGAACATTATTCCCAAATGTAACCATCTGAGGAAATAAATGTATGCCCAAATGACAACGTTTGGCATGTTAACTGATAGTTGAAATCCCAAATATAACATGTGTTATGTTTGATATCAACGTATATTTTGACCGCCAAATTCGCATTTGTTTCACAGGTCATACAGTACAACCAGAAATTATTGAAAGTTTATAGATTGTAATTTTTTTTATTATTTTTTACTCATTACTCATGTATTAAATGTGAACATTAGCAGAACATAACTCCAGATTCAAAGACAGGTGAACAGTTAGTATTTTGTCAAGTCACTATGGGCAGCAACCAAGCTAGCGAGCCTGACCACCCGATCCCGTCCAGGTTAGAATATTGGCCTTCAGTAACCCATGCTTGTCGTAAGAGGTGACTAACGGGATCGGGTGGTCAGGCTCGCTGACTTGGTTGACACATGTCATCGGTCTCAATTGCGCAGATCGATGCTCATGCTGTTGATCACTGGATTGTCTGGTCCAGACTCGATTATTTACAGACCGCCACCATATAGCTGGAATATTACTGAGTGCGGGGTAAAACTAAACTCACTCACTCTTGCTGTCTGTATATGATTAGCTATCCCCAATCCGAACCAATATTTACATGAATGACAGGGGAGATATAGCAGTCTTGGGGGAAATTAATCAGTAAAATCTAAATGTGTTATATTCTTCAAGCGACCAATCACATATTTGTATTTAATAATAAATTGTCCTACCTAAATACATTTAGACACACAATGTACTTTATTATCTTAATATGATATGAATATGCTTATATACGCTTTGTCTCAAACGTTTTCAGTCAAGATAAATTCAAACAAGGTTAGAATTATAAAAACAGAGGCGATGGTACTGATAACAACTGTGATAATGATAAAGATAAAGTTTGAACAATTATGAATTACCATACGAAACACTGCATGGGACCATGGCGTCAGTGGCAGCAGTAAACAAACATTCATTTTTTGGTGAAAGAATTTTATGTTTTGACTTCTATTTTCGGGAAATTAGTTCTTGAAATGCATGACGTTATGCTTTAATTCAGGCACACAATAAATGCTGTTTCAATCATTGAAGCAAATCATTGTTAACAATGCCTATAATGCAAGATAAAAGAAAATCATTTTCTGTGATGAGTTATGCAAGAATAAACAGAATACCAATCTACATGCTACACAAACTTTAAAAATACAAGAAAACAATAAACACGTGTGCGCCTTAATCAGAAGGACTAAATACGTTTTCGTTATTGTTTTCAATAGGTTCCTAGCTGAGATTAAAGGTGAATCGGGGACAATTCCACTCTACTTATTTTGATCTAGCTACATCACTTATAATGTTCTTGTGGCTAGGATACAAATTCACTTATAAGGACATATCGTTCTTTCCAGAATATATGCAGTTCCGTTAAATACCACCATACATGTGTGGATGTCTAGATAGGTCCCGAAAAATATGTTTACAACTATGATACTGGCGCTTTCAAAGTTAAACACACTCACTCCCACATTCACAGTTGATGAATAACGCAAAATACCCCTCTGTGTAAATGTTGTTAGGGCGGTGGGGTAGCCTAGTGGTTAAAGCGTTTGCTCGTCACGCTGAAGACACAGGTTCGATTCCCACATGGGTACAATGTGTGACGCCATTTCTGGTTTCTCCCCTCGTGATATTGCTGGGATATTGCTGGAATATTGCTGGAATATTGCTAAAATCGACGTAAAACTAAACTCACTCACTTATATGGTGTGTGTGTTTGTGTGTATCTGTGTGTATTCGTGTGTATATGTGTTGCTGAATAAGGGGTTAAACTTGTGTCTGGACAGCAGTCTCGTGGGAGTAATCATCATCAGTTTCCTCTGTCGCTTTTCAGTGTGTTCTTTAACGCTGCCGGGCTCTAGATACTGTCTGGCCAGGGGGCACAATGTCACGTAATCCAGAGAGCCAGCGAGTAGCCCCACCGTACCCTCTGGGGACCTCTTACCACAAGCTAGGGCAACTAACGTTACACCAATTACAACAATAAACGTCACTGGATCTTCCTACATTGAAATGATATACTGTATAACTTGAATACTGGCAAAACTTACCCGTTATTTTTGAAAATATAGAAAACACACTCACCTGCTACCACACCAGTTCCAGTTGAGTTGAAATTTCTTTTAAACGAGTCTGGGGTCTTAAAATAGGACCGGAAGCACTAAAACGAATCTACAGCTGTAGAGTTTGTCTTCTCCATCCCCGTTATAGCGTGGATGCTAAACATGGCCAAACTGAAGCAGCTCTGTTGCTGACCCCGCTGCTGGACCCACGACCACGTGACAAGAGCATGCCAACAAACCAAGGATAACACATACAGTAATATGTTATATACTTCTATATCAACCAATTCCAAATGATATGGATTAACATCTCGTCTGTGAAACATATTCATGGGAAAAATACAGTTCCTAAATATTCTTCATAAAATATGCAAAAAGAGCCCATATTCTTTCTTCATTTCAAAAACTTGTGGAAATCTAGACTTGACACATATTCTAGACTTGCATCGGTTGTATTTGATGTCTTTGTGTCAGGGTCTGTGTGAATGATGCATTTTACTGAGATGTTACGGACGATCAGGCTACAGATAACGTAGGAGTGAGTGAGTGAGTTTAGTTTCACGCCGCTTGTAGTGATATTCCAGCAATATCATGAAACACCAGAAATGGGCTCCACAGATTGTACCCAAGTAGGGAATCGAACACGGGTCTTCGGCGTAACGAGCGAACGCTTCAACCACATCGCTACCCCACCGCCCAGATAAGGAAGGAGGGTTCTGCACTACTGGTACCTGAATGTCACAGTAGGTACCTCGAAGTATCCGCTATAACAGGTATCACAGTTCATCACAATTTCAGAGACAGAGCGAAGTACCCTGTGTAAAGACATCAAGATGCAGCCTAGATTGAGAATGATGTTTTTATTTGTTTGTTGTTTGTCGCCGCACTATGGCATACTAGAAGGGACATTGTCGCGTTGTCGCATCTCTCAAAAACAAGCAAACAGAGGCAAAATTAATCAAAGCGCGACAATGCGACAACATGACATTTCCGCCATTTGTCGCATTGTCGCTATGTCGCTATGAAGTAGTACTCGTAATGGCAAAGGAGACTGCTTTTCACGATTTTAATTAAATCGTTCATTGTTGCTTTAAAAATTACTTCATATATTGTAAATGTCCAAAGTGATGAATGTGTATTGTGCTGGGATTCGAACCCATGATCATAGTTTTCTGGTGCGACTAAGAGACGCAACCCTGCACAGAGAATTGCCCGGCCTAGAATGACAGGGCCACTGTGTGCCCACGGTAGTGAATGTTAGTGCAAATAATTTGCCTTACTGGTAAAACTCGTTTAAATACACCGACGTTTACAATACATGAAATAATTTGCCACTTCTTTTGCAAGATAAATAATTTTTAAAGTAACAATGAAAGATTTGCATTAAGTTCGAGTACTACTTAATTTTTAAAACCATTGGAGGTAACTAAAGACCACTGAAGTCTGAAATAAAGTATAGCTTTTCCTACTCATGAGTAAACTAACTGACTTTCTACACATGCGCACAGTTAATCGAAAAGGGCGACAACGCAACAGTGCAACGTATTCATTATGTGGCGTTGTCGCGAATTTTGAAGTTTTTTACTCATCTTAGATGACATATTTTGACCTTGAAAATTGTTGCTATGTCGCCTTTGGATGAATAGACAAAATATTAAAAACGCGACGCAGCGACACAGCGACAAATGGCCGAAATGTCACGTTGTCGCGCTTTCGTTAATTTAGCCTCTTTTTGCTTGTTTTAGAGAGGGCGACAACGCGACAATGTCCCTTCTAGGATGCCATATCGAACATACAT